CAGAGATAAACACTATGGATGTGCCTCATATAGATTGAATGACGGCTTTCTTGTAGAGAAGGTGTTTCTATGAAAATTTTAGGTGGTTTCTTCTTTTAGTGAGAGAAGGTATCGATTGCTCTCAAGGGTAAATCTCGATTGCTCTCAAGGGTCTCTTCCTGGACAACAGTTTAGCTATGGAAAAGAGTTGGATCTCTTATTAGACAATGGTTTAACTGTGGAATAGACATGAAAGATCAGTAGGTTGTGCCAATCAGGAGAGCGGGTGTAAAAGGGTTTGTTCGATTGGGTTTTGTCGAGAGTTAGAGAGATAACTCTATATTCCAAAATCTATCATGTAACTTTCATTGATATAGTGGATTTCAGCCATCTTGGGGTAAACTACGTAAATCTTTGTGTGCTTGTTTATGCTTTATTTCTCGTATTATCATTCATGCTCTCTCCTATTTTGTTTATAGTTGGATAAGTATACGATTTTGGTGGGATTCAACTTTTGGGATTGCTGTTTTCGCATCTAAAAATATTCTTAAATCCTAACAGGGCGGCCAATTCACACTGATTTAAATCCACAATCCACCCACTTTTCCATTTTCAAACATTGGGCCTTAGTGTCTGAAAAAACATTAGTTTGGTTCGATATTTGGACTGTATTTTAGAAATGAACTTGAAGCTAGGTGGTCAAGATGGCTAGGCGCCATCTTGAGTTCTTTTCTTACCATTATATAATCCTCATTGAACTACCCAAAAAATAAATAAAAAAGATTGGCGATTTGATGTTGAAAAGGCATAGAATTACCTAATGTTCAGGATTCTTACCATTAGTATTCATCTTAAAATGCCCGTACGCAAAATCGCATACATATGCCTATACAATCTATTTTTTTGGGAAAAGTTTATATAGAGCCGAGGCTCTAAACAATCAAGTTGGAACTTACCGCAAAACTTTCACTAGAAGAGGTTGTTTTGATGCCCAAATATCACCAAATTGATCATCTCGACATGAAGATACATAGATACGAGAGAAAAGTGGATTTCAAGTTTTAGAAATAGTGTATTTTGTAACACATTTTTGAACCATCAAGTTTCAAGTTTTTATAGTTCTGTCGATCTGCATTATTTTTAAAGCGTTAAACTTTATAAATAAAAATAAAAATAAATTTCGAACCACATTTCTCGATACTATTTGAAGATAGGCTTTAATTTGATTGTTTAGGGCCTAGGCTCTATACAAACGGCACCCTTTTTTATTATTATCAAATGTACGTATCTAATCTCTTGTATTTGTTTTTGCGTGTAACATAAGCACACAAGAAACACACAATTTCTGGTGATCTTATCCATGCGACAATTTAGACAAGTATACAAACAACTATAACTATTACAAAAACCATTTACTCTTGTTATAAAAGGGTTACAATAATCGGAAAGCTTTATATGTTCCCCTACCATCCAGCCGTTCATTTTTTTATCAAGAGAGTCACTCACTGTTTGATTTTAGATCTGACATCTAAAAGTACTTTATTTTTAGTTTTTTTTTAATACAATGTTTTTTAATATGAAATTTGGTACGTGCAATCTTCTCATTGGGGCGCACCTATAAAAAATATTAACAATAAGTTTTTTATAAAAAATAATGACCAAAATACCTATTGAAACTTTCAGGTGTAATTTGATCATTTTATTTTATTGAAAATATTTTTTTATATATTTCGTTAGTGCGAGTTTAATATAAGAATAGACGTTCAAAATTTAGTGGCAAATAGTTTATAATAAAAAATTAAACATAAAAGAGTGTAGAGATGTGACATTGCGATTGGGGCAACTTTAGCCTCCATTAAAAAAAGGACACTTGGATAACGGGGAACATAGAACTTCTATATTGTAAGGGAACATAGAAAGCTTACCCTACGATAATTTTTGTAAGGTGTGTGCCTCTAATTAAATTTAATCACATTAGTTTTGATTTTTTCTTTTTTACAATGAAGAATCACACTCATAATTACTCGATTTCACATCTGATAGTTATGACCAAAATACCCAAGGTAAAATTCTTATTATATAAAATCATTTTTCTTTTATTCCATATGAAATTTTCTCAAAGAAAAATCCAAATTCCCCTTTATATATTTTGATTTTGTTTAACTTATCTAATATGTTTACGGGAAATGATCCTATAGGACCCTCTCTCACCTATATGTGTAGAACTCTAAAGGATCATAATTAAATTTAGTACAGATCTATAGAAAAATCAAAATCCCACAGCCATATGATAACTTTTTTAAATATTCGTGTCAACTTTAATGGTGATCCTTTGGAATCCCACATGCATGGATGGAGGAAGGTCCTATAGGATCGTTATTCTATGTTTATACATGTTGTCTTAAATCTCCATCCTATAAAGTATTATTTTAAGAAAAATGATCTTATAGAACTCTCTCCTACTAATGTGTGTAAGACTTCAAAGGATCGCTATTAAATTTGACATAGATCTCAAAAAAATTGAAATCCCATACTCATGCGATAATATTTTTGAAGATCCATGTCAAATTTAATATGATTTTTTTGAATCCTACATACATGGATGGCGATGAATCCGATAGGATCATTCTTTTTGTTTTAATTTATATTTTATTTTATTTTATTTATTATTAATATCTATCTAGATCAACTCTTTGGACTTTGGACCGATCCTAGCTTGATGCAAATAATTGATGAAGTGATCAGTGCGGACATGCAGACAAGATGAAATGGGTATGAGTTCCTCATAGTTGTCGCTGTTATATGATGCCTTTTTTTTGACAAATAATATGCATGTCACTTTCATGTGTCCTAATTCTTTTTTCTAATCGTCTCTCTTTAAATTATTGTTATTGAGTTTTAATACGACAAGATCCCTATCTTTCCACGAATTCCCTCCCTTACCCCTATTTTAAACCAGTTCTGTACATTTCAAACTATGGATGTCGCTTCATGAAAATAAAGCCTGACCTCGAGTACTTGGGTAATGGAAATTTTTATGATGGTTTTGAAATTAATTTTTAATGTTGACAATAAAATTTATAATTAAAAAAATAATATAAATCTTGTAGAAATATAAATATTTATTTTAAATCAAAATAAACAGTCTAAATAGTATGTTATAATATACATTAATTTTAAAGCTTGAAATCTTAATTCTTTTCACAATCACTGTGTAAATCGATATGATCGATGTAAAGGTTTTTCAATATTTGACTTGCCATTATCGATATCAATAAGTTATGAGGTGAGGATTTTTTTTTAATTTACATACTATAAATTTATTTATTTATTAAAATTTACATCCTACCCCCAATCTCTCTCACAAAGGAATTACGTAAATTCAGGCTCTCCCCCCCTTTCTCTCTCTATCTCGAGCATAAGATCGTAGAATTATATATCGGACCAGGTTTCCATAAGCCCATATAGAAATGTGGGTATCTTAATAAATTTATTTTTGGGATAGAATTTTAGATTTAATTTTTGAGGATATATAATTTTTAACACGGAAAATCATGAATATAAAAAATAAATAAATATTAAAAACTAGAAATAATAATTGTAATAACAATACATTTAAGAAGTTAGTCTCCAATGTTTTTAGATGAACACCTACGTAGACCGCATGTGTAGAAATGCGGTCCAGCCGCCTGAAACAATTTTCTTATATGTGAAGACTTAATGCTTACTCCCTTTCCACCGCGATTTACAGTAAGCAAAACTCTAGCTCTCTCATTATCGTCATCTGTACACATGTTCAGGGTGGATTAACACCCCTAATTGCCTGTCTTCACCTCTGCAAATTGTTCTCACCACATCTTCTCTCACTCCCTTTCCACCGCCATTACAGTAAGCAAAACTCTCGCTCTCTCATTATCGCCATCTGTACAGATTTTCAGGGTGGATTAACACCCCCTAATTGCCTGTCTTCACCTCTGCAAATTGGTCTCACCACATCTTCTCTACTCCCCTTCCACCGCCATTTACAGTAAGCAAAACTCCAGCTCTCTCATTATCGTCATCTGTACACATTTTCAGGGTGGATTAACACCCCTACTTGCCTGTCTTCACCTCTGCAAATTGTTCTCACCACATCTTCTCCATGGCAACAGCTGCTCTTTTTCATGGCACCTCTTTACCCTTTTTCCGGTGCAATACCAGATGCACGATGAGCAATTTGCCTGAAAATGGAGGGCCTTTGCCTCAAATTCCAGTGCAGAGAGTGACCCTAAAGCATTTGGGGCTGAAGCATAAGAAGGGGGAACCTATCACCATGGTCTCTGCTTATGATTACCCATCAGCTCTTCATCTTGACCGAGCGGGAATTGATATTTGTCTGGTTGGTGATTCTGCAGGTATTCACATACATACCGAAAAATAAGGTTCAAGCCGATTTGCTCGGTGTGTCCGAGTTACTCGCCCGAGTCAAGCTCGTAAATTTTTTAAAAAGAAAATCACGAAACAATATTGTGTATATATAATAGCGGCAACTTTAATTTATTAGGTGTATATATAAAATGGAGGCTGCTAGTGTTATGGCTTGCTGGTTAGTACTCCTTCTTCTTAAATTCGATGGGTTGTGAGTTCGGGATATTTTCTTTAACTCTTTTTTGCTTTTAATAATGGTTTGAATTTATTTTGAAGTTTTTTTTTTTCATAACTCTCTTAAAAAATATATTTTTTAACTCTATATTTTTTTTTAATGGCTTGGATTTATTTTTTAGCTTTATTTTTCTTAATGGCTTGGATTTATTTTTTTAACTCTATTTTTTTTAATTGCTTGGATTTATTTTGTTAACTCTATTTTTCTTCATGGCTTGGAGTTATTTTGGAGGTCTTTTTTTCCATAAACTCTCTTTAAGAAAAAGTTCTCATGTCTCGTGGGTCTATAAGAGGTATTGAGCTCGATTAGGGGAGGCTCCATATTTTTTTTGAACTCCTTTTATCTGATCTCTTTTAAAAAAAAAAATTCAAACATCTCATGAATTCTAAAAAACAACCCCTCAATTTTTCGTAATTGATCCCATTTTTATAACTTTTTAAAAAAATCTTACATTTTGTGAGGTCTAAAAATCCGAGATGTGATAGAAAATGCACCCCCACTTTAGCGGAATGTTCATTCATACTCTATGGTAGTCAATCGATATTGGAAAAAAAAATATAAACATTATTGTTGAGCAATTAGAGAAAATAATAGATTTTATAATTTTTAATAATTCATCTATATTACCTCTTAAATTAGTTGATATTTGAGAAAAAAACTTCTTTGGTAGAGGGCTTTCAAAAGCTTCAAAACAAAGTAATCATCAGAAAAAATTGTTGAGTAATTAAAGAGAAATAATAGATTTGGTTATTTTTTGACAGATTATTGATATTACCTCTTTGATACACAAAATCAATCGATCTTGGACAAAAAAGCTATGGATCTGTAGAGTGCTTTTGAAGATTGATTTCAAAAACTTCAAAACAAATTAAACCTCATCCCATTTGGTGTAGAAACGAGTTAGAACAGATAGGTTTGGCAGGGAAAAAAAAATCGCATAAGGAACTCTTTGTTGTACGAAATCGATCGGGAATGGAGAAATTAAACCAGGGATATTTGGAGGGCTGTTGAAGCTAATATCAAAATCTTCAAAAGAAGCCAAACCTGATCTGATTTGATGTAGAAATGAGATAGAACAGGAAGGTTTGGCGCAAAAAAAATAAAATTGCATAAAGAGTTGTTGCACGAAATCGGTCCACAAATAAAATCAGGGATCTTTAGAGGGTACTAAAAGCTTTAGAACAGACTAAGCCTCATTTGATTTGATGTAAAAATGAGATAGATCAGAGGGTTTACCAGAAAAAAAAAAATCGCACAAGAACCCTAATTTCCAATAATTTCGTGATGAAATCTTTCCAATAATCAATTAAAATCACTTCAAAATTTGGAAGTTTCCATTTTCTGAAAACCAAGTTTTTTCCGCAAAAATAGAAAAATCGGGTGATTCTTGCTGATTTTGGACGATTCTATAAAAATTCAACCGAGTCATATACATTTGATCTGTCCTCGAATAGTTGTGCCATTGACTCAGGCCTACTTGGCCTCTGGGGTACGGCGAGGCCGAAGACAAATCGACTCGGACGAGTCTTAAAACCATGCCCATAAAGAAGAACAAATCAACTGTCAGTGATACAATATAACGAGAAGTTTTGATTTATTTATTTATTTTCACTTCCATTAGTGTAAGCTGGTATCTATTTATAAGAGAGAAAAAAATGTGTGGTTGATGATTCTTAAAAATCAGGGAAAGTTCTGATTTTTTGTTACATTTTCACGTTAATTATTGTCTAAAATTAGCCATGTAGAAAAATAAGAATTTAGAAAGAAAAAAATATGTAGTTGATGATCATGGAAAATAATGGAGAAGTTTCATTTTGCATATAAATTATTATCTTCCCTCTGGTTGGAGAATCTTGCGGTGCCCATTTAGACAGGAAGAAAAGAACGTTATTCCATTAATTCTTATACAAAATAAGGGAAAATTTCTGAATTTGATGCATTTTTCATGCCATTATTTAGTTCTGGAGCATCTGAATTCATTGCAGAATTTTATTTCCGTTGGCATTTTTGGGTGTTTTCATCCTTGGTCAGAACTTCTAGAAGTGCATAATTTCCCGAAAATAAGAATTGTGCTACTAATAATGGTGAAAAGAGAAGGGAAAGGATTCTGCTTTTATCAAAATTTTCATTTCCACTTTTTTTTTAGTGCCTTTTATTGATTGTTCTGTTGATTTTTTCTTTGGACTAAAAGAATTGAGTGTTTGGACTGAAAGGAAAACTAAAAGAGTTGATTGTTCTGTTGTTTTTTCATTTCCATTGGTGCTGTTTATTTATTTTGACCTTATTCATTGGCCTTGTTTATTTATTATTTGGTTATTTTCCATTTCTTTTGGGAAGCATTTCTTGTTCATGGGCATGAAACAACCTTGCCAATTAGCTTGGATGAGATGCTGGTACACTGTCGTGCTGTGGCCCGAGGGACCAGGCGTCCTCTCCTTGTGGGTGATCTTCCTTTTGGAAGCTACGAGGCAAGCTCTGTGCAGGTAATTACTTTCGTGCAATCCCCCTATGGAGGTAATTTCTTCCTGAAATTCCTCTGTTCAGGTGATACTCTTTGCATTATAACTTTATTAGATGCTAAAGCATGGATCTTTGGTTTTAGAGTGATATGGTTTTAACTCTCCTCTTGATAGAATAGGATTATGTGTTATGTTATATGTTTAGGGAGTCGCTGATTTTATGGTACTTTTCCCTCTTCTTCATTCTTTCAAAAACTACTTTATGGCTTCTTCTTCTCCATTGGTATTTCACCTAGGGTTGCCACTGTGTGCATTCAGATTTCATTCCTACAAGAAGAAGCTAAATAGTAAATTAGAGTTTCATTTGTATTAGGATGTAGATCTAATTTTTTATACTATCATTTCCTACTCAAATAGAGATTGGTTTTCTTTGCATGTGGGATGTGGATATCTTCTACTTCAATGGGGGACTTCCCCTGTATATGTATACATTTAATTTCTTAAAATTATCTTCCTACTTAGCCCTTGAAACTATGATAAAAAATCATCATCATCCAAGCCTTATTTCAACTATTTGGGGTTGGCTTAATATTGGTTTAGGACTCATGAAAATATGTGGCAAAGTTTTATTGTTGGTTGCCTATCTAATACAACCCTCCTCCTTTCTTAGGGCTTCAAACCGGCATAGGAACCCGCCATGCCAAAGTTGAAACAAAAATATAAAAATAAAAAATGAAAATCAATGGTTTCTTTTTTTGTATTGGTATGTTGGTTCTGTCTGATTCTTTAGAAAAATCATTTGTCTCAAACAAATTCTATGGCTTTCTTTGTATTTTCAATGTGAATTTATCCTATTTTAATCCAATGATCGCTCCTACTTGCAAAGAAACTTTTGTATTTGGCATATGGCTTGTTTTTGCTTCTAGCTAAACTAGGCATATGCCAGGGGAGGAGGGCCTGTCTAAATTTCTTTTAGCTGCAATTGGCCTGATGCTGAGGAGAAGTTACCTATCTGAATTATGGGCAGGCAGTTGAATCTGCAATTAGGATATTGAAGGAAGGTGGGATGGATGCCATTAAATTGGAAGGTGGATCTCCATTCAAGGTTGCTGCTGCAAAATCAATAGTAGAGGCTGGGATTGCCGTCATGGGGCATATAGGACTTACACCTCAAGCAATCAGTGTTCTTGGTGATTTCAGGCCTCAGGGCAGAGATGTTGAAAGTGCAATGAAGGTTTCTTCTTTGATCTTCTCTATTAACAGTTTTCTATTTTACTGTACTGCTTTGTCCCTGTATTCCCAAAAACGAAACATATGTATAGTTCAATGCAATTTTGTTTTAGTCTTTCCTTTGTCTTTTGAACTTGTTAAAGTTGTTTTCTTTAGATTTAATGCACACATTTTGTATGCAGATTGTGGAGAGTGCACTTGCTCTACAGGAAGCAGGATGTTTTGCACTTGTGTTGGATTGTGTGCCCTCGCCTGTTGCAGCTGCTACAACTTCTGCCCTCCAAATCCCCACCATAGGTTTTGGTGCCGGGCCTTCATGTAGTGGCCAGGTCTGCTTCCTTTGAATTCCTTTTGATCTACTTTTTTATCAGGTCAAATTTATCAGGCCGGTATGTAATTTGACGTATATTTGAGTCTTTTCTTTTAACCAGTATTGGATATTGGATATGTATTTAATGCCCTTCAATTTTTAAAATAGGGTGCGGTTTCTATAAGGTTGCAGCCTTAAACAATCCAGTTAAGGTGCACCTTTGTTGTAAAAAATTCTTAGTATTATCTTAAAATCTATTTTTAAACTCCAAAAATGGTTAAAATCAAGGAGATCTATAAACATATGAAAATCTTGAAAATAGACGGTCTAGATAATATGTTGCAAGATGCATATTTATGAGACTCAAATTTAATTTATTTTTATATTCACACATCTTGATGTCCAAATGATCAAATGGAGGATTTTTCATCATTAAAGGAACCTTTTCGATAGATTTTTGAGGTGCATATGTAATTCTACATTTTAAGGTTGCAACCTTATTAAAACTTTTCCCTTTAAAATATCACCTGATTTGGTCTCTACACTAAATAAACGAAATAGCATAATATTTACTGTTGAGCAGTAGCATTTGATGTTTTCATTCTAAGTGTAATTAGACATTAGATGTCATACTTGATTAAGTTCATTAGCATCATGGAGTTCCTTTCTTTTATATAAGTATTTACTGTATGATATTAGGCATTGCAGAATTGCTGAGTCTCTATAGTGAAATATGATATTATTATAGCAATAGGAAGTTGAATATGAAGTGCTTTGTTATTGACTCAAATTTTAATTGTTTATATCCAACTTGTCACATGCCTATTGTTGCGGGATATTATGATTTGATGGCAATGGTAGTGTGTATATATATATATATATATATGGGAAAGTATAGAATGAGACCATTTACTCACAATAATCTTGACTATTGGATGTGAAGTTGGGTGGCTGCAATTATTCCATTGACCAAGCTCAAGCTTCAAAAGAAACTTTCTCGAACTTTGTGACACATCCAAGCTATCAATGGTTGTAAGGAATTGTGACCACCTTGTATCAAACATAAAGGGTCTCATTGTATATATATATATATATGAAAAAATCTGGGATTAGCCCACTAGCTCATATAAACATATGAGCCCAACGGCTCGGATTGAATCTGGGCCGATCTGACGATCATTGATGTCCGGTAGTGCTTGAATTTTATTTATTTTTCTATAAATCCAATTCACTTGAAATTTTAGGTGTGTGTTATTTTCATCAAGGCGTACCTAATAAAAATATATAAAAAAAAAATATTTCCAAAAAACAAAATGACCAAAATACCCCCCAAAACTTTTCGGGGGTA